GAGAAATGAAAAAGGAAGGAAATAAGAAAAGGCCAAGTGGTGTAACGGGGTCGTACTCTCACACATAGGGTGAAAATGCTGAACATGGGAGACAGGACGAGCACGAGAGGGACGGCGAGACCAGACGTGAGACGGAGGCGTCGGGTCAGAAGACAGAGGAGGAGTAACAAGGGAAACGAGGTGGGAAATGAGCCAGGGACGAGTCTGGCGGAGTAAACACAGGACCGTGGACAGGAAGGGGAGGAGGTTGCGGGGGAGGCGCAGGCGAGTGCTCAGGGGAGGGAAGGCTGAGCAGGCGAAGGGCGGACACCGGCGGCGATTGCTGCTGCTGCTGCTCGACACCGATACCTGGACCGCAAGCTGCACCGCGGCTACATCCGGAACACTCCACTACAGCACCCCCATAGCAAGCACCTCCAGAGCAAAAACCCTCTCCAGCACCGGTGCCACCCCCGAGCTCGCCAAGACAAGCCACCACAGGCACCCCAGGACCAGCACCCTCCTCAACGCCAGCATCCCCAGAGTCCACGAACGGCTGCTGCTGCTGCGATGGCGGCTGTGGCGGCGGCGACAGCGACGGCGGAGGAGGAGACACCGGAGGAGAGACATGCAGCAAGAAATGCGCAGCAGGGCCACCATAGTCAGCCGACTCCTCGACCGGGACAACCGACGGGAGAGGAGTGACGTGAGACCCACTAGACAAAGCAGGATGGGGAGGAAGGTCAGCAGGGGCTACCGAGGGAGTGGGGACCAGAAACAGGGGAGGGGAAACCGGGAGACCTTGGTAGGGAAAGCGGTGGTAAAAGGAGACAGACTCATCAAAAGTGGCGTTACAGGAGTGAAAGAAGTGGTGAGACGGCGGGTGGTAAAGTGCCAGTCAGAGCAGTCTAGGGGAAAACCGAGGAAGACACAGGGGACAATGCGGGCAGTGAGCTTGTCCGTGCCAGAGGCACGAATGTGAGCGAGGTAGCCGCAGACGTGGAATGCGGATGCGTCATCAGGGAACCCAGTCCAAAGAAGGGTCGGCAAAACCTGCGGCTGCTGTGAGCGAGGCCAGAGGTTAAGCTGGTGAGCGGCATAGTAAACGACCACAGAAAATGGGGTGCACCAGCATGAATCATGCAGGTACGAGCCACCTCTATGACCAAGCCGATGCGTCGCTTAGCGACCCCATTCTGCTGTGGGGAGTCCAGTAGGGTGTACGACTAGGTGATGCCCTCCGCACGACAGAACTGTCCAAGCCGTCCAGAGGCAAACGCGACGCTACGGTCGGAGTGGAGACACAGCACAAGGAGACCGCGGTGGAGGCACGCAGCTACGACCCACGGGATAAGGACGTCGGGCACGTCGGCCTTCCGCTCCAAGGGAAACACCGTGGTGTAGCGCGTGTAGTTGTCAACGAGCACTAGAAAGTAACGCTCACAGCGCGGACCAGGGATGGGGGCTGGACCCCAGACGTCCAGGTGCAGGGTCTGGAGGGTGGCGGTGGCAAGACGAAGCGAGGAGGAGTGAGGAGCATGGCGGAGCCGGCCCTCGACGCAGGGCGTGCACGGCAGCGCAGGCGAGGGAGGGAGGGGAAGAAGCGACGTAGGGGGGCCTAGGATAAGACCGTGCTAGGATATGTGACACAGACGTGGGAGCATTGGTGACCTAGGCGGTGGTGCCACACAAGCAACGGGTGAGTGAGCGACCAACATGAGCAAGCAGCGACGACCTGGGTAGACGCAGGACCCGAGGAGGACCCGTGAAGCAGTGTCCAGCGTAAAGAGGCCAGACACTTGGTCCCGGGGGAACGTCGCAAGGGGGTAACCTGAGGCGGCCTCGGTACAGACGGTGTACCGCTCGTGACCCGGGAACGTAGTGGTGACGCCGAGGTCCTGAAGACAGCCGACACCAACTAAGTTCCGAGAGAACGAGGGGATGTGCAAGCCTGTAAGGGAACCCGAGGGGACCGCTAGACAGGGAAGGGTAGTGTAGCTGCGAGCAAGTATAGGACCAGAGGAGGGGTCAGCAAGTGCGACAGCGGCAGGAGTGGCAAGCGGCATAAGCGCATCGTGGTCGCGGAAGAAGCAAGCAGACGCACTGGAGTCAAGTGTGAAGGACAGCGAAGCTGTGGTGGCAGCCGAAGGAGGAGCGAGTGTGGAGCCTAGACTAGACAAAGCAAACGGTCCTACGGCTGATGCAGCAGGGGTCTCCGTACTACACACAGGTGCTAGGCCCAAGCTAGAGAACACAGGGTAATAAGATCCGGACACACTAGAAGCGTCAGCATACAGAGAATGCAAGGCAGAACTAATCGGATCCATGTATAGGTAAAAAACAGGCACACCGTGGCGCAGTAGGCTGGGCCAGTCAGGGAGGTCCGGGGCAAGGCCGAAGCGGCGACGAAAGAGGTCATCGAGGCGGCGGAAGCAGCGGGCGGTCGGGTGCGGACGGCGGCACACAGTGCCACGAAGGGGTCCGGTCCGGGGCTGGTACTGGCAGCCCACAGCACCGAAAGCGCTGGTAGACACTGAGCTGCAAGGACCGCCACCGCAACCACCCCCTCCATGGGCTCCCGGCCACCCCGGCGGGAGGCGGGCCCACGACTGCTGCTGCGGCTGTTGCTGCTGTTGGTGCTGTTGCTGCTGCGGCTGTTGCTGCGACTGCTGCTGCTGCTCCTGGACGCCTGCCCCAGCCCCCTCGTCAAAACCACTGTCGTCGCCATCACCACCACGCCCTCCCTTGGGGCCTCGACGGCCCGACGGTGTCACTGCTGCTGCGGGAAGGCCGCTGCAGCTGTCTTAGCAGTAGGAGCAGCAGTAGCGTCTGCAACAAAAACGTCCGCGTACGTGCACTGGGAGGGAGCACAGCCCTGAAAGATAGGGACTGCCACAACACCACTTAACTGAGCGATAGTGCGCTGGCGAGTCTCTATCTCAGAAAGGACAACGTCGAAAGAGGTCAGGGTGAGGTCACTAGGGTGCTGGCTAAGGAAGTGGTCGCGGGCAGTGGCTAAGCGGTCAGGTAGGCGCATAGGAACAAGGTACAGGGTAGCGCAGAACGATGGGGGAAAGGCCGTGAGTTGGGCAGTAGTGTTAGCAGCATGATAGCTAGTCTCTAGTGCACGGAGGTGAGTGGCAAGATCAGTGACAGTCGGGAAAGTAGAGAGATCAGGGAAGAGCATGTGGAGGATCAAGCGTCCAGCTGAGGCGGAGGCAGGCGTGGAGTAGCGTGCAACTACTGCATCTAGGAAGTCTTTGGCATTTGCTACAGCACTGAAGCGGGGACGCTCAGATAGGGGAAGCGCATGACTAATGGCAAGTTGCGCTACAGCATCGCGAGAATCCCAGGCAGCGCGAGCGAGCGCAGCTACAGCAAATGCCTCACTCTCAGCAGTGGTGGGATCAGCAGAGGGAGGGGATCAGGCGCGGAGGGGTGGGGAAGCAAGCCATCAATATGCAGAGCTAGGGAGTGCCCATCTTGGTGCTGACCTGTCAGTTGTCGGCGAAGATCGACAAGCCAGGCGGCGAAGTCGATCCCGTGCCCCTCCACGTCCAGACGTAGCATGGTGTCCGCCATCGCGAAACCTCAGCAGCGCAGCGGCACAGGGACACTGTGGCGCAGCGGCACAGGGACACATGTACTCAGCTGCATGGCGAGACAGCGACGTGGCGGGAGGACTCTCCGAAACAGGGGCCGGGCGCACGAGGAGCCGGAGGGCACGCAAGGGGGGGGGGGGGGGCGAACAGGCGGTAGGGGCTGGCTAGGCGGTAGAGGGACCGGCGGCAGCGCGAGAAGGGGGCCGGTTAAGCTCGAGAGGGCGGCTGGGCCCGAGGGGCTGGCTAGGGCGCGAGGGGCCGGCGAGGGCGCTAGGGGCCGGCTGGTGCACAAGGGGCCGGCTGGGCGTGCGGGGCCGGCTGGGCGTGAGGAGCCGGCTGGGCGCGAGGGGTCGGCTAGTGATCAAAGGGCCTGCTAGGGCGCGAGGGGCCGACTAGGCACGAGGGGCTGGCGACGCGAGGAGCCAGCTAGGGCACGAGGGGCCGGCGACGGCGCGAGGGGCCGACTAGGGCGCGAGGGGCCGGGGACTGCGTGAGGGGCCGGTTAGGGCGTGAGGGGTGGTGGCTAGGCGCGAGGGGCTGGCGGCGGCGCGAAGGGGCCGGCTAGGGCACGAGGGGCCAGCAACGGCGCGAGGGGCTGGCGACGGCGCGAGGAGCCAGCTAGGCACGAAGAGGCCGGCTAGGCGCGAGGGGCCAGCTAGGCGCGAAGGGCCAGCTACGGCGCGAAGGGGGCCGGCTAGGCGCAAGGGGCCAGCTACAGCGCTAGAGGGGCCGGGTGGGCGCGATAGGGGCCGCGCGGTAGGCTAGGGCGCGGGGTGGAAGCGGGTGGGGGGGGAGAACCTAACCTACTCATGATACCATGATAGAATACTAGATTAATTAGAAACAAGGGTGAACAAGGGAAATATAGTGTTGGAGATGTACTCTCTAAGAACATACGCCTATCTAGCCTATAAATTCTACATACTAACATATATATAAGTTGACACCAGCTGCCACCCTCGACAACCACCCATTGGTGCTGTCCTATTCACACGATCAGGCTGCCCCAAATGTGGGTAGTCTCGTCTAGAAGGTGGGAAGGTGCAAGGAAAGTCGCTTTTCCTTATCGAGTACAACCCCGACTTTCGGAAGTCCAGGCTCGGCCCGACAATTCAGGCTCGAACTACGTTCGAGATGTCAGAAACCCAGCCACTAACCACTGGGTTAAAAGGGCTTGCTAAATAGCGGGTAAGTGCGCCCATAGCCCCCCAGGCTCTGCACCTGTGGCCCTTCCCCGAGGATCTCAAGGGCAACCCCAGCGGGTCACTCAACACGAGACTCCAAGCCTACACGCAGCGTCGCATCCAGCATTTCTGAGTTCCGAGGCGCCCCAAACCACCTCGCATGTGTTTCGTGGCCTTCCTCGAGGCTCTCCTCTTGCTAGACTAGCAGTGCTTGTATTTAGGCCTGTGCTTCATTTGTACTCGACACACTTTAATAACGACCTCACTATTGCATTACTCAACTCCTATCCAGAGATTATCATAACAGGGCCAAAGCTAGAAAATTTGAACAAAGAATTGTGAGCCTTTCTCTAGAACGTGAGAGCCAATCATTGCATGCCAAGCGTGTAGAGAATGAAGGCATAGCGAAGCGCCACATCAGCAAGGCGATCAAACCTGCAGCAAGGATGGAAAAGCCACAGGTGTGTAAATTTCACGCCCATAGAGACAGCTCTACATGCAGTTAAAGCCCAGACTGCCATCTGTAGAATTCCCCCAATCTGCCTCTCACGAAAACATACTCCCTCACTCTCACCCCCTCACTCTCACTCCCTCACTCTCACTCCCTCACTCACCACCTCCCTGTCTTGCTGAAGTGCCCAGAGTCCATCTCACACCGCAGCAGCATCACTGACTCCGACCTCCTGTTAGTATCACTCTCTCTCACTCCCCCACTCTCTCACTTCCCCACTTTCTCACTCCCCTGCTCTCTCAATTCCCCACTCTCTCACTCCCCCAATCGCTCACTCCCCCACTCTCTCACTCCCCCACTCTCACACTCCCCCACTCTCTCACTTTCCACCTCTCTTAGGCATCAGCATACCACCCTGTCTTGCTGAAGTGCCTAGCCTCCATCTCACACCGAAGCACAACTGACTCCTACTTCCTGTTGGCTTCCCTCCCTTCTTACTCGCTCTGTCACTCTCTCACTCAATTTCTCTCCCTCACTCTCAATCCCTCACTCTCACTCCCCCACTCTCACTCCCTCCCTCTCACTCCCTCACTCACTCACCTCCCTGTCTTGCAGAAGTGCCCAGCGTCCATCTTACACCACAGCAGTCCAACTGCTTCACCACTGCTGGTGTTTGGCATCTCTCAGTTTATTCTTCCCCTCACTCTCACTCCCTCGCTCACAACCTCACCCTCACTCTCTCTTCTTTTCACTCACTCCCTGACACACCGCTCTGTCTTAGCTGAAGTGTCTAGCATCCACCTCACACCGCAGCAGCACCACCGAATCGTTGTTGGCGTTGGGGTCTCTCACCCATTCATCAACCCGCTGACTCCCTCACTTGGTCCCTCACTCTCAACCCCCCTCTCTCACTACCTAACTCACCCCCCTGTCTTGCTCAAGTGCCCAGCGTCCATCTCACACCGCAGCAGCACCACTGCATCATTGTTGTTGGTGGTGTTGGCAGCTGTCAATCTATTCACCCCCACTCCCATCCCCTTACTCTCGCTCCCTCGCTCTCACCCCCTCACTCTCACCCCCTCTCTCTCACTCCCTCACTCGCACTCCCCCACTCTCACCCCCTCACTCTCACTCCCTCACTCTAAACCTCTCACCCTCACTCTCAACCCCTCTCACTCCCTCACTCGCTCACCTCCCTGTCTTGCTGAAGTGGCCAGCGTCCATCTCACACTGCAGCAGCGCCACCAAATCCTCACTGCTATTAGAGTCTCTCAACCGGCTCATTTTCACCACTCCCTAACTGCCCTTCACTCACGCACCCATTCATCCTTCACTCCCTCTCTCCCCAACTCTCCGCCCTGTGTTGCTCAAGTGCCCAGCGTCCACCTCGCACCGCAGCAGCACCACTTCTTCGCTGTTGGTGTTGGCCTCCCTCACCCATTCATTCACCCACTCACTCCCTCACTCTCACCCCCACTCTCTTCCTCACTCACCGCCCTGTCTTGCTGAAGTGCCCGGCGTCCATCTCACACCGCAGCAGCACCACCGAATCCTCACTACTATTAGCGTCTCTCAACCGCGCCACCCACTTGGCTGGTTCCCAGTAGTTCACTCTCTGGTCTGCAATGGGTGGCAGTGGGGAGGGTGGAGAGGGGGGTGGAGAGGGGGGGGGAGAGGGGTGGGGAGAGGGGTGGGGAGAGGGGTGGGGAGGGGGGCGAAGAGGGGAAGGGAGGGAAACAGCGGGGGAAGGAGGAGCACCACCGAATCGTCGCCGCTGTTAGCGTCTCTCAACCGAGCCACCCACTTGGCTGGTTCCCAGTAGTTCACTCTCTGGTCTGCAATTGATACTGATTGCAAGGACGGAAGGGAGGGAGGGAGGGAGGGAGGGAGGGAGGGAGGGAGGGAGGGAGGGAGGGAGGGAGGGAGGGAGGAAAAGGAGGGAGGAGGGCAACAGGGAAGGGAGGGCAACAGGGAAGGGATGATGTACGCCTGGCGTCATGCGAAATTGTAAGGAGGTGAATTTTGACTCGACTGGAAAGAAGAATGAGCGTACCATGGAGCGACGCAGTGGCAAGAACGTTGGGGTAAGCCTGGCGCTTCACCTGTGGAGGAACAGCAGCAGAACAGCACGGAGTAAGGCAGGAACAGCAGACGAACAGCAGAGAGGGGAGGGATGGCAGAAAAACGCAGGGACAAGCGGATCAGTCAGAAAAAGAGTGTTTCCAGCCCAGGTGACTTTTGATTCAACTCAAAAATGAAAAAGAGGGGATACGCTAGGAAGGAAAACAAGCAGGAAAATATGAATTGGAGAGAAGGACTTACATTGTCGACAGGAGAGTAAGACTTTATGTAGCGATAGTACTGCTCTTCCTTGGGGTTACCCCACTCCTGCTTGCCCCACAAAACCGCTCACCACCGCACAGCCACATACCACACATAGCAGAGACGTAGAATGAGCATTCTGGTTTAGAATGAGCATTGTGGTTTTTGTGCAGCAATATCCCGCTCCACTCCCCTCCTCTCCTGTGCTCTGCTATGCTCTCTGCTCTCTGCTCTGTTCTCTGCTCTCTGCTATCTGCTCTGCTGTCTGCTGTCTGCCGTCTGCTGTCTGCTGTCTGCTGTCTGCTCTCTTCTCTCCTCTGCTCTCTGCTCTCTGCTCTCTGCTCTCTGCTCTCTGCTCTCTGCGCTCTGCTTCCTGCTCCCTGCTCTCTGCTCTCTGCTCTCTGCTCTCTGCTCTCTGCTCTCTGCTCTGCTCTCAGCTGTCTGCTGTCTGCTGTCTGCTCTCCTCTGCTCTCTGCTCTCTGCTCTCTTCTCTCTGCTCTATGCTCTCAGCTGTCTGGTGTCTGCTGTCTGCTCTCTGCTCTCTGCTCTCTGCTCTCTGCTCTCTGCTCTCTCCTCTCTGCTCTCTGCTCTGCTCTCTGCTATGCTCTGCTCTGCTCTCTGCTCTGCTCTCTGCTCTTCTCCTTTCAACAAACCACCACAATGTTTCTTCATTGAGTTGTCCGCTTATATCTAACAGCTCACCTCCCGCGCAGTAATAGCGAGGTGCCGAGACGCATACCTCCCACTTAGTGAGAGTGAGGTGCAGAGAGAGACGCATACCTCCCATTCGGTTATGGTCAGGTGCAGAGAGGCGTCCAGCATGGTGGAAAGCACATCAACGAACGGCACGCCAGCCACGGCCGATCGGAACAGATCCGGCCGTTCGTTCACTGCTGCCCCCACGGGTATGCCGCCTGCTGACCTGCCCTCTAGGGCCAAGCGGTCTGGAGTGGTGAGACTGGAGTGGCAGGAGAGGGGTGAGAGTGGGATGGGGAGGAGAGAAAAGAATTCAACTCACTCAACTGTTACTTCACTGCAGCCCTCACGGGTATGCCGCCTGCTGACCTGCCCTCTAGGGCCAAGCGGTCTGGAGTGGCGAGACTGGAGCGGATTTTTGAGGTGTGGAGTGGTGAGACTGGACCTGCCCTCTAGGGCCTCAAAAAGCGGTGTGGAGTGGTGAGACTGGAGTGGCAGGAGAGGAATCAGAGCAGGGATGGGGAGGAGAGAAACTCTGTGATGCTTGGTGGGTGGTGGTGGATTGCCCCCCAGTGCCATAAATTCGTTTCAAAGAGAGCGTTACACAAATTTACCCTGCGGAATTCGTTACGAAGTCCCTCATTTACACACTCCCTCATGCACACACTCCATCCCACACACACTCCCTCCGACACTCCCTCCCGCACACCCTCCCACACTCCCTCCCACACTCTCTCCCCCACTCCCTCCCGCACTCTCTCCCACACTCTCCCACACTCTCTCCCACACTCTCTCTGGCATTTACCCTTCTTTAATGAGGTGCTCAGCACACGCAATCACATCCGACACCGTGTTGCGCTTTCTCAGAAGCTTCCCGTCCAAGTACCACTGGTAGTCCCAGTCGCCCCCTCCCCTCACGTGCGCAATCGCCACCGCCACGCCTCGGTCCAGCAAGGACAGGCGGTCAGAAGAGAACGAGAGACGCGTGGGCACCTGAAAAGGGAGGGAGGCGGTAAGGGGAAGGAGGGTGTAAGCCAACGCGTCCCAGTCGCCCAGTCCCAGTCCCAGTCGCCCCTCCCCCATCAGTTCGGTTCTCAAGCGCCCCGAAACCCACTGGTAGCCCCAGTCGCCCCCTCCCCTCACGTGCGCAATCACCACCGCCACACCTCAATCCAGCAAGGAGAGGCGGCTGAGGAGAAGGATAGGCGGGTGGGAGACTGGAGGGGGGCGAGAGGTGGGGTGTGGGGACCAGAAGAAAAGTGGTGCTGGGGCCTCCACACACATGCGCAATCGCCACCGCCACGCCTCTGTCTAGTAAAAAGTCACCTCTCCCCTCACATGCGCTATCGCCACCGCCACGCCTCTGTCTAGTAAAAAGTCACCTCTCCCCTCACATGCGCAATCGCCACCACCACGCCTCGGGTGTTGTGTGACATTGTAACGAGGTGAATTTTGAGTCGACTCAAAAGTCACCTCTCCCCTCACATGCGGAATCGCCTCCGCTATGCCTTTGTCCAGCAGAGGCGGTCACAGGAGGAAGAGAGACGCGAGGGACTCTGGAGGGCATGGGAGGTGGGGAGGGAAGGTGGTGGACAGAGACGAAAGAGAGACGCGTGGGAGAGTGGAGGCGGGTGGGAGGAGTGAAGTTTTGAGGCGCCTCAAAAATCAAAACGAGGAGGAGTGTTATACCACTCGTTGGCATCGTATGCATACAGCAAGAGGAGTCTATTTTTGAGGCGGCTCAAAAATGCATACAGCAACAGCACGGGCCAATGTGTTTGGATGCTCTCTAAACTCTTTTCTCACCTCATACGCATACAGAAGCATGGGCCAAGGGGCGCCCATGCTGGCAGCAGCAGCAGCAGGAGGGTCACTGGGAGTGCAAGTTGCATATACAGCAACGTTAGACACCACGTGATGGTGCATCTCACCTCATACGCGCTATAAGCATACAGCAGCATGGGCCAAGGGGGGCCATTGCTGGCAGCAGAAGCAGAAGCAGCAGCAGCAGCAGGAGGAGGAGGGTCATGGGAATGGTGATGCGATGGATAAGCGAGATGGGTACTCGTGTGCCGTCCGCTGCTGTGTTTAGTTACCCTATGCTCACCTCATATGCACCGTAAGCATACAGCAGCATAGGCCAAGGAGGGCCATTGCTGGCAGCAGCAGGAGGAGGGTCGCTGGGAGTGGCAGTGCGATGGACCAGAGAGATGGGTACTTGTGTGCCGTCCGCTGCTGTGGCAAAGAGACGGCGGGAGGAGTAGAGCGACGGATCGAAGGACGGGCCGACCTGCAGGGGATAAAGCGAGAAGGGGGAGAGGAGAACAGGGGAGAGGGGGAGTAGGGGTATGAAGAAGTGTTCCTGTTGCTGCCGCTGCTGCTGCTGCTGCTGCTACAGTGGCAAGGCTGTGGCAAGAGGAGTAGAGGGATGAAGGATGGGCTGGCATGCAGGAGATAGAGCGAGAAAGTGAAGAGGAGAGCGGGTGAGATGGGGAGGAGAGGCGGGAATAAGTGTTGCTGCTGCTGCTGCTGCTGCTGGTGCTGGTGCTGCTGGTGCTGCCGGTGGTGGTGGTGGTGGTGGTGCTGCTGCTGCTGCTACAGTGTCAAGGCTACGGCAAGAGGAGTACAGTTCAAACACGGTGGAGGGAGTGACGAGAGGGAGGAGGATAGGGAGGCGACCCACTAACACTCATCCAGAGCACACACCCACCCACCACACTCACCCACTCGACTTTCCTTGCAGTCTCCCTGTCCGTCTGTGCCAATGTCCCACTGAGTCACACAGTCTTGGGAGTGACGAGAGGGAGGAGACGAGAGGGAAGAGGTGAGAGAGGAGACCCACAAACACCCATGCACGCACCCACCCACCACACTCACCCACTCGAATTTCCTTGCAGCCTGTCTGTCTGTGCCCATATCCCGTTGAGTCACACAATCTTGGGAGAGACGAGGGAGGAAAGGAGGGAGAAGAGGTCACCGTGTGCAAGACTCACATCCCTGACGCACTCACCCAGTCGACTTTCCTCGCGGCCTGTCTGTCCGTGTCCAAGTCTCGTTCCATCACAGTGGTGGGAGTGACGAGGGACGACAAGGAGAAGCGGAGCAGAAGGGGAAGAGGTTACCCCACACACATTCCGCTCCACATCATCTCTCTCGCTCACTCACTCACTCACCCAGTCCACTTTCCTCGCGGCCTGTCTATCCGTGTCCATGTCCCGTTCCATCACAGTGGTGGGAGTGACGAGGGAGGAGAAGGAGAAGCGGAGGAGGGGCGACTCAAACTGGCTTCGGAGGGGTGAGATCTCAAAAGCCGCTTCGTTGAACTCTACCCTGTAACGCGCAAAGCAGAGAGCGAGGGGGAATGGGGGGTGGAGGTAAAGGGGTGATGACTCAAACTGGATTCGGAGGGGCGAGATCTCATAAGCCGCTTCGTTGAACTCTACCCTGTATTCGGCAAAGGGCAGAGCAGAAGGGAATGGGAGAAGAGCAAAAGCCTTTGAGTCAACACAAATCGCGAAAGCGCATATGGGTGGATCATATGGGTCAACTCCAAATGCCGCTTCGTTGAACTCTACCCTGTAACGAGCATACCACAGCGCAAGAGGGAGTGGGCAGGAATGGGCAGGAGTGGGCAGGAGTGGGCAGGAGTGGACAGGAATGGGCAGGAGTGGGCAGGAGTGGGCAGGAATGGTCAGGAATGGGCAGGAAGGAATGGGATGGGAAGGAACGGGTAACGCATTGCGCTGGAAAAAACAACCTCTCGTGCTTTTTTAGATTTCTAAAAAATATCCAAAAGACAACTTAGACTTGTTGAGTCGACCAAAAAATATCGCAGTGAAATCTCACAGCTTGGCGTCTTCAGATGCAGGAGAGCCGTTGGATCGTAAGGGGATGCATCTGATCCGTTGGAGGCCCTTCACCCTCTCAAAAACGGCCACGTGGCGCTTGAATGCCGTCACTGACTGGAGCTTCACACTTCGTTTTGAGAACATGGAAGGGTACAGATGGATAAAGAGGGATACACCGACTGAATACAGACACAAATCCTAACATCGCATCCCACCACCAGAGATAGTAGTAGTGTAGTGTGTAGTACAACCACTTTCGAGGCGCCTAAAAAATCGAGACAGTGAGTGTGTGGTAGAACCACAAAGGCCTGTTGCTGCAGCAGCTGTTTTCCCTCGATCTAATAAAAGCTGCCTTTCTTCTAATCGAGACAGTGTGTACCTCTAATGTGGTAGAGGAGGTGCTTTTCTTCTACCTCAGGCTCTCAACTCATCTCATTTGACCGAAACAGCCTTTCTCAACACATCGCTTGCGATGCATCTCACCTAGGATCATGAAGTAGAGCCCTAGGTCTAGGCTTCAAGTTCTAAGGTTTAGGTTTTAAGGCACCTGAAAGATAGATCTGCATCTCACTTGGGATCGTGTGGAAGAACCACAGAAGGCTGCCCATGCTCTCCTGCTCCGTGGGTGTGATCAGACGACGAGACGGGCAGGGCGAGGAGCTCCGAGTTCCAAAGCTCAGCAGAGCGGCGGAGAAGAAAAAAGTGTGAGGCGCTGTGGTCGCCGTACACTTCCACGTTCTGGGAAGGAGGGGGGGGAGGAGGTGGGAATGGGAGGGGAGAGGTGGGAATGGGAGGGGAGAGGTGGGAATGGGAGGGGAGAGGTGCCATGCATCTATGGTGGAAAGGCAGAAGTTCGAGGCGCTGTGGTCGCCGTACACCTCCACTGTCAGGGGGGTGCTTGGGTCTAGGGTTAAAAAAAAAAAATCGGAAGGTGGAATTGGGGGGAAGGGTTTTGGCTAAAAAGAGTGGCAGGTCGGCGAAAGTGCACTGCTCTACTCACATGCACTCTCGGCAGCACCAACTGTCTCGGAGGGCCAACCAGACGGTCTCTTCCCTTCCCTTCCCCCACATCACTTGCCAGCAGGAAAGACAAGGAACGACGGCACGGCCGAACCTATTTTTTAGGCACCTCAAAAATAGACTCGCCACGGCCGAACCACACTTGACTCTGAAGGAATCAACACCGTATGCATCCACGCGCTCTACTCACATGCACTCTTGGCACCAGTTGCCTCGGAGGGTCAAACGGTCTCCCCACATCGATCGCCAGCAGAAACGACGTCACGGCCGACCCACACGTGACTATAACGAATCGGTCTGACGACGTGCGGTTGATCCCCACGTCAAACGCCTCGTCCTCTTCGAAAAAGACGCACACGTCCTGCGACACCGGCGCGCCGATGACGTGGCGCATGACTCTGCATGCACGGTCTTTCTCGTCCTGTGCGACGTAAAACAGTGTTTGGTTGTCGTCCGCCCAACACACCTCGCCGCTCGTTCCAAACTCCGCTGTTATCACATCTGTGTCTAGTGTTGTGGCTGCTGCTTCAGCCATAACCACAGGTAAACTTTCTGCTGCTAAATCAGCATCACCATCTGCATCAGCATCTGCAGCAACATATTCAACAGCTGCTGCTGCTGTTTCTGCTGCTACTCCAACATTTGCTCCCGCTGATCGTGATGCTGCTGCCGGCGCTGCTGCTGCGGCTGCTGCTACTCCTCCTTCTGCTGGTTCTGCTGCTGATGGTGAAGCGATGCAGTGGGAGCAGGAGACAGGTCGCACATGGATGACATACCTCTCATCCCCCCTCACATCAAGGCTGTACGCCACATACTCATGGTTGGGGCTCACAGCAACGCTGTCGACGTGGAAGAAGCTCCGCCCCTCCGCCTCCCTGTTCTCGTCTAAAACTACCTCCTCTGTCACCCTTTCATCCATGCTCTCCGTAAAAAAATCCCTGGATTTGCACTCAGGCCCATCTACAGCCGTGTCTGTAGCTGCTGCTTTTCCTGTTGAGGCTGTAGCCCTGTTTGTGGCAGCAGCAGCAGCAGCAGCAGAAGCAGAGCCTGCCGCTGCCCTCCTGCAGTGAATGGGATACTGTTTACCTTCTTCCTCTCGGGTGTAGTACCAGAAATTACCCTTTCTGCAGCAGAAGTGGTCAGGGTAGTAAAAAATGAGACGAAGAGAAGCGGTAGAAAATGAGGAGCTACAAAAATTCCAACAACACAAAAGGGAACAGGCGAGTAAGCCAGAGGGGAGTAAGCCAGAGGCGAGTAAGCCATAGGGAAGTAAGCCAGCAAAGAGGGCAGACTGGGAAGCAATTTATCCTCTCTTAACACTGTGCCCACCTTAGCCCTTAAACCCCGAAACCCATAACTCACCACCTCTCTCGTAAAAGAAGAGAGGCTCTCACTCAGAAGTCACTCATCAACGCACTCCCAAGCACACCTCAGAAGTTCGCTCCTGTCCTTCTCTTTCACACGTGCTTGCATCTCTCACGACACTCCCTCCCTCACGTCCTTCCCCCTTCTCCCTCTCCCCCTCTTCATAAGCCCCCCCTACGCACCTCAGAGGGACGCTCCTGCCCTCCTCTTTCACGCGTGCTTTAATCTCTCAGCACACTCCCCCACGTCCGTCCCCCTTCCCCCTCTCCCCCTCTTCATAAGCCCCCCCTACGCACCTCAGAGGGACGCTCCTGTCCTCCTGTTTCACGCGTGCTTTCATCTCCCTTTCCAACAGCACTCTCATGGACAGTCCCTCCCCCTCCTCTCCTTCAGTGGTCGGTCCATCAGCTGCGGTGCTTTCGGTGCCTTCACCGCACGGCAGCAGCGCATCAGTGTATGCATTCTCTGCTTCTAAATGCGCCAAAACCTCCGGGTTCTCGCGCCTCTCGTCCCTTAGCCAGTGGTGGGGGTCCTCCCGCGTGTCCCCAAACATTGGGGGGAAGGAAAAGGGCACCTTGGCGCAACTGACAAGGGGAAGGGAGGCGGGAAGCAGTGCGTCAATGTATGCATTCTCTGCAGCTAGGTGGGCCAGGATCTCCGGGTTCTCGCGCCTCTCGTCCCTTAGCCAGTGGTGGGAGTCCTTCTGCCTGTCCCCAAACATTGGGGGGAAGGCGAAGGGCACCTTGGCGCAACTGGGGAAGGGGGAGGAGGACGTGGGGAAAAGGGGAGGGTAGGGGTTATCTGGGGCACCGCTCTCGCGCTTTTCGTCTCTTAGCCAGTGGTGGGGGTCCTCCCGCGTGTCCCCAAACATTGGGGGGAAACTGTAGGGGACCTTAAGTTCTCCTACCGCTCCTTGCGCTCCTAGTTCTCCCAGCGTAAACTGTCCATTGGGAAAGAATAAATTACTCCGATTGTAGGGAGTCCTAAATGTAGCCTCCACTTACATTGGACGCTTCGTCTCTTGGGCTCTTGAGAATTCTAAAAAACAAAACACATCCGAGTTTAGGGAGTCCTCAATCTAGCCTCCACTTACATTGGAGGCTTCGTCTCTTTGGCGCGCTTCCAGAAGGCGCTCAGATCACCATCCTCCATGGCTTCCCCTCGTCCAGCCATGACGGCCAGTTCAGGCACAAGGGACTCAGGAGATATTTTCTGCGAATCTCGGTCTGAGCTGGCACTGACGCGTGCTGTTGCACGGGTTGGAGTGCTGAAGGCAGTAGAGGCCCGCGGATCTGACCAAGCAATAATTATGAGAAGAATTGGAGGGGGTGTGAAATGCGGAAGAAGGGGGGTGGAGGGGAGAGGGGGGAAGAGAGAGAGAGGAGGGGGGGGGGGGGAAAGAAGGATCGGCGGAGGAAAAAGAGAGAGTGGCTAATTTTCGGGGGGGAAAAAAGATAAGCAAAGGTCGGAGAGACGTGCAAGTCGCATAATCAGCAACATTTCTTCGTGGTAGCATGGTACATGCACTGGTCACAAACTCCCGCCAATTTTGCTCCTGATGTTGATCCAATTTAGCAGAGGAAATTATATCATAACACGCGTTACTTCTTCCTTACCAAGGCTGGATGACCGATTTCGAGGGAAAGCCCCCAAAATTGTGAATTGTGAGAGAAGTTTTTTTTGAAATTGCTCAGCAAATTTGAACTGATCTGATCCTGCAGCGGGTACTACGATACAACGGACTCTGCAGATAGTAGCCACTGCTACGGTAGCAGGTAGCCTAGTAAACAGTCTGTTTGGGTGAAATGCCGCCCTATTCGCGATTGGCATAAAGCGTCTACAATCGGTTACTTTAGCTGCGGTTGATTTTCCTTTGCAGATCGGAAGGATTACGAGAAACTGGTCGAAAGTAGAGCATCCAGTCAAGACCATGGTGGCATTATATTCCGAGGAAACTTCCCATGGTACTTGACAAAATTCCACTAACTAGCATCCAGCCAGCCTTCTGGAGAAACCTGCTGAGAGAAACCTGCTGTATAGTGCAATGCTGCTGCTGCAGGGAAATAGGGAGTACTGACGCGTCTAGGGTTGAACGGATGTGGGGAGGGGTTTGGGGAGGAGCAGGGGAACATACCCTGACATGCGTTCAAATCCCTTCAGGGCATGTAAAGCACCACCAGCTTCTGGAGGCATGCTAACAAAAGGTTGCCTTGGGTGAGGAAATATTGCACAATTCAGAACTACAGTAATTAGTGAGGTGTTAAACAGGGTACAGAACATGTTGCAGCCAGAAAATTTCCTGCAGTGTCACCGTTTCAAATAAGTGGTCTTGGTTGATTTGGACTGCTCCAGAGACACCAGAGTCTCTCGTTCAAGGTGACGTGTATTGCAGCAATGTCGCTGACCAATGAACGTGGATCCCCTCTCATCTTCAACTCAAGCAGCGGCGGTGGAAAATTATTCCTTGGGATTACCTTTTCCACCATACGCGTGCCAAGCCAGGCCAATGTCGGATGTGAGGGTTTCCGCGAGCTTTCAGAACAAGACTCGGCTGTTGGTTAGCGCATCTCTTGCTGGCCACCGACAAACCAGGTTCCAAGTACACCTGTTCCACGATACAGGCACGCATTTTTTTTGCGCGGTACGTGCATGTATCCTCCAGCCAAAACACCGGGCAAAAAGGGCTTGTACACTTCGGGGGCGGGAGTAGCCGGACTGTAGTCATTAAATGCGGACGGCCTATGTGCGTCCGTTTTGGTAACCAGCACGAGAAACATCTGACCCACATGAAACGGGTCATGTTACAACAACAACAATATTGCACTACGTTTATGAGACAACTCCTATAGAATTACAACACTTAGTTTACGAGAGCGACACGTTTCTCCAGAGATGACACCACATGTTCCAACTCCTACCGAAGGCCACAATTTCAGCATTCCCACGTTGTTGACGTTCACCGAGACGACACACGCTGATACTCTCCAGTGTTAGCATATGCCGCGCACCTGAGAATCACAAACTCATGAAGAAACAGAGAGGCACACCTGTCCACACCCCCTACACAGACGCACACCCACACACCAACGGGCGAAGTTGCAAAGAATCACAACACACTGAAGCACACACACCCACGCACGCGCACATTCAATCACAGTCCAGAGAGGCCCACAAACCCACGCCCACTCAAACGCACGAGGACACGCAAACCACTTAACGAACATTGGATGCAGGGGAGATATAGAGAGGCACACAGTGTGTATTTAAAAGGTCCTCATGATCTCCGCCGCGCCATCAAAGCCGTCCATCACAGCCGTCGCTTGCAGAAGGCGTTCGCGGCTGATAGCGGTGTCCTGAGTGTCTCGATCGTCGCTGCAGCTGGCTGAAGCGCGAGGAGATGGAGCGTAGTTCAGGTCGATGCTGAACGTCTTGCGCGGCTTCGGGCTAGCCCTCTCGAGGCATTCAATCACATCAGCGTTTCAGATGTCGAGCAGCTCCTTGAGGTAGCGCGGACGGATGCGCGTCGCCCACGCATAAGCGATGAGCAGATCCATCGCTAGGCGCCGAACCCGCCGCATTGCCCTCGCGCGCTCAGACAGCTCGATGACGGAGGGAGGCTCTCCTCCCGTCTGGCGCACCGGAGGGGGTTCGGTGGAGAGAGGATCGACGCCCTCGGGCTCGCAAGTCGGGTGCGTCTCGTCGATGCGCATGAAGTCCTCGGCGGAGAGGGCGTCGGCACCGAACGCAAACTGGTCAATCTGTGTTCCCACCACCCACAGTTCTTCAGTCTGGTCGCTTGGGTTGGAGCTCTCGTACATGAGGTGCGGGAGGATTCGACTCCAGCTGCGGGGCAATATCTTGGCGTGGTGCCAGCACCGCTGCACGGTGTCTTGCTCAACACTGCCCCAGGCATCGGAGAGCCACTGCACCGTTTGCCATGCCTTCGGCTTCTTTGTCGCCTGTGAAGCTGGTGACACGCGGGAGTCCCACAGCTTCCACAGCTCCTCTAGCCACTTGGATCGGAACCGCCACTTCACAGTCGCGATAATGCCCTGGTCCAACGGCTGACAGTACGCCGTGGTGTTTGGGGGGAGATAGACGATTCGGACATTGCTGAGCTTCCGCGAGCGGAAGCCACAGACGTCCTCAGTGGTGGCGGTGGGAGAAAGTAGGTTATGAGATGAGGCGTTGTCCACCAAGACAACGATCTGCCTCTGTTCGGCGAACATGCAGGCGTTGACCGACTCGAAGAAAGAGGTGAAGATCTGTAGGTGGGGGGCGGGGGGAAGTGCGGAGGAGAGAAACGTTCAAGTATAATTTCGGAGAGCGAGCAGCTGAGACTCACAAACTCACGTACATCCAAATTGAATCTTCACTCACTTCGGACGTCATCCAGCCCTTGGGATTCTGGTGCCAGTAGACGTACGGCTCGGGGTCGAAGTTGTTCGCGTTAAAGTCAGACGGCCGTCGCACTTTGGAGACGACGAGAGGACGATACATACTGGATCCATCTGCGTTGCATAGAAATGCCACCGTGATGCGGTCCTTTGCACCCTTGCGACCGACGGGCAAACTATCCTACCAGGAACGACGAGGCTGCTGACCTGGGAAGAGGGCAGTCTCATCCCAATTGTAAAGGTCACGCGGAATGACGCCAATACTCTCAATGAGCTCCGGCATGCGCTGCCTACACAGGTCGACAGCTGTCTTATCTGCGTCGAACGCCTCGCCTTTTCGTGCAAGGTTACGAAATCCCATGCGATGCATGGCACGGTAACACCAGCTGATCGAGCATTCGAAGGTGTCTGGGACGCCACACTCAGGACGCAAGTCCAAAGCCTTCTGTCAAATAATCGACAGAGTAAGAGGTACGCCAGCGTCTTCTGCTCCCTGCACCCAGACCTTCAGTGCTCTTTCCAAGTTCGGGAAACGTCCGTTACGCAGGCGGATTGCATTTTGTGCTGCAGCAGCGGCTTTCCACTTGTCCGCCTGACGAACAATCCTCCCCACTGTGCTGCGGTCAGGAACAATCCCAAACCTCATGAAACACCAACGGGCGAGATCCTCCTGGCGCCAAGATTGGTGGGTTTCCGCCTGTCGACAGATTTCTCACTTCATGTCGAGCAAAATCTGGGCCCTTCTGTGCAGGCGAGGCAGGCGACGGGAGCGAGGGGCGGACATGTTGTCAGTTGGGCGAAAGTGGAGCTGGATGGGGTAACAGTGTGTGAATGGAGGTTGTGCGGATAGACGTGGCTCATACCCACGCATTTGAAGTTCGGAGAGCACGCATGTGAACTGCGATGGCAATCGCTGACGTGTTCGTGCAGTTCATTCAGTCGAACATAGGAATCTGTGCTACTAGAAACTTCCGTGTCTACATGGCGTGTTGTCAACTCGTTGGCTGACGATAAGCATTCTAATGACTTCGCTAGGCTGTTGTTCTTCGCTAACGTAATCTTATGGACGAATCCTAGTGGTTCCCGCAGAATCTGTCCGCTATCTTATACACTACACTCTTGTGGGTCGTTTCATGTTGAACAGCGATTGTGCACATACACAAGGGAATAAGAGCAGGGTGTATACGGCGGTGGGTCCTTAACCGTGATTGTGCGACAAGCGCGGATGTCTGTAAGCGGGATCTTATGTACAGTGAGCAGCTTGCGAATTTTCTCTACACTTGGAGCACACCTAAGGCCCAGCTCAATACGTGGCCCAATCAGAAACCACCGCTCATTAGCGTTGGCACACGGGCAATGGCCCACTCAACGTGGGCCGTGAACAGAGCGAGCAGTGCAGCGTCATCATGACAGCGATGACGAACATGCGGCACAAGACGAAAGATGTGCGCCACAACCGTTTTCGCCACAAACTTCCAGCCGTGCTAGGAATAGCGCTCTGACGAAGCTCAGCGAGCCTTTCGTTGAGCTCGCAAAGGTGCGTACGCCTTGCTGGGTTTGTTTGTAGCTTGAGTACCGCCGCATGAAACTGAACGCTGACTTGGCAGCAAAATGGAGTCGCGATGTCCTGATGTCAGGGGTCGTTCTCAACATCCGACAACCAGCCAAGGAACAAACTCGAAAACAAATTCCCACAAACGACGCAGCAGCTATTTTTGCGACACGAACCTTCAATTCGTAATGTAATAAATCTTTAGAACACATCCCTAACAACTGGAACTGAAATGTGACTCCAAACCCTCCCTACATTTCACTGAGTATAAAAGGGAGCAAACCAAACTAGAGAAACGCACTCAACATCTCACTTGCCAACCACCACTCTGGTGCTACACCAGAGAAACTCACGCTCACTTGAAAACGTCGAAATTTAACACAGGGTAACTTAGTGAACAATGGCTCGCCAAAATATGCCGCTCAAACCTACCCCGCAAAACATCAAAACGGTAACCTTCGTGCCCGTGCGAAAGGCCCACATGCCCGTGACGATACCTTGCGAAACCCCTGCGCGTTTTTGTTTACCGGCACCCTGAAACGTTGTATTCCTCTGTCAGGCTCAAGGTGTAGCATCCGAATTGCAGTACAGTCTGCAAGAAAATTCCAAATCATTCTGCGCCTGAGGGGATCCGCCTTATGCACAAGGGGCCAAGCTGCCCCCTGAACCCTATAGACTGAGGGAGTGCTCCCCGTTCGGGGAGCGCTCCCCGTCCTCGAGGCAGACCCTCCCTCAGTCTATTGGAGCAACAACCACTCCCTCAGTCTTTCACATTACGAAGTGCCTGATTGATCGCGCGACGGTTTGCGACACATTGCCGCAACTTACACGTCGCATGTTGCGCCACAGAGACGGTTACACCTGTGCCAGGTCTGGCGACCTCGCAACCTGTAATCACACTTACACTTGCTTTCGCCTATTGTTGGCGATGAAATCGCCAATCTTCGTCCATCGCGGGTGCCAGTTTGGTTTCGAAGGATCCGACGATTATGGTGCGTCCCGATTAGGCGCAACGTGGCAAATTTAGCTGCTTGCTGGTTGTCTTGCTGGTTTGTGCGGGAGATTCGCACGTCGTTTGGC